GCAGAGGTTTTGCAAGCAGATTTGCGACGCACTAGCATGAGCGTAAGTGTTAATACATGCTTTTTCTCTCTCTGCGTCCCACTTTGTTTCTTGTACAGTCGAGGTCCCTTTCTGGCCGCCATGTTTCTACTGGTTTTTTGGATCCTGTTTTGGGAGCCATGATGAAGCAGGTTTGTTGGCATTCGAGGCGCTCCAAGGCTTACCGAGGCCTGCCCGAGGCACGCATGGCAGGAGCTACTGTGGAAGAAACCGCCTTTGAGGACGTCAACATGTGGCAGGCACCGCCGCCAAGCTAGGATGTGCGTTTTCCCACAGCGCGGAGCGTATAGTTGATGAACTTGGACTACTATACCCTGAAAACCGTGGAAATTTGCGGAAAAACATGGCCAGCGTATAGCGTATAGTTGGTTCAATTCGATAAAAAAACCTTACTAAAAAAAATCTTTCTTAGAATGTGAGCTGACCGGCCAAAATGGATCTCACGCCACAGCGCGGAGCGTTTAGTAGGGTACTAACCGTCTGGCCCGCAACACCAAAATTGTGTTCTCGCCACAGCGCGGTGGGTTTAGTTGGGCTCTTTGTTTGTACGATTATTCTACAAATTCCATTTGTTTGCGTGACGGGCGCAGCACTTGAGAACACCGTACGGCCATCTTAAAGGTTGAAGCGCGGCAGGCGCAGCGCTTGAGAACCCTGTACGGCCATCTTCAAAGTTGAAGCGCGGCAGGTGCAGCGCTTGAGAACTCCGTGCGGCCATCGTAAAGGTTGAAGTGCGGCAGGTGCAGCGCTTGAGAACACAGTACGGCCATCTTAAAGGTTGACGCGCGGCAGGCGCTGCGCTTGAGAACCCAGTATGGCCATCTTAAACATTGAAGCGTGGCAGGCGCAGCCCTTGAGAACCCCGTACGGCCATCTTTCCTTGCATGGCCCCCACAAGGGCCAACCACAAACTGAACCCCTGCGACCCCATTGTCAATGTTGAGGGTGTGTTGATGCTATTGCAACTCAGAAGTGAATTCCAATTTGAGGATGTGACCTGAGGCAAAATTTCTTTTTGATGGCTATCAGTTTAAAAGGTGAAACTGCAACATTTAAGCCTCCGTCCAACATTGAAGATGGGGCGCGGGGATTTAAACATACGTCAAATCCTCATCTTGGATTTGCAACTGCAAGTCTGGAGTCTGGAAGCGCAAACATCCACGATTCCTCTTTGCAGGAATGCCGATGTCGGGATTCTCCACAGGAACTGTAAATCTGAACACCACAAGCCGCTTTTGAAGCATCTGTAAATCTCCGAGCGTCACACCGGCTTTCGGTGTGTGTGTAGATAGTCCAATCTTCCAGTGAAGAAAAAAGGGGAGCTACAGCAATCATAGCTGAGGGTCAAAGATCGCGTTTATCTTTCTTGGTGGAGGCTTCAGGTTGGGCTTGCCACTGTGATGTGCGCTGTCCTTCTGCTGCAAGAGCGCTGTTGATTTCCAACCACATTGATGAGAAAGAGTTCACTACTGCTATTTTTTCAGCTTTGTTCCATGGACGGGGCAAGCAACGAAATATAGCTTTGTTGGTTTCCTCTGCAAATGAGGGAAATCTTTCATCTGGGCCCCAATGAAGGAGATCTACCCACAGGGCAGTGTGTGCTTGGCACCATCGGCTTCCACCTTTCCACTGCTCCATGTGGAGGCGTCAAATAAAAGTATCCAGCCGCGCTTCAACCTTTCAGATGGCCGTACGGGGTTCTCAAGTGCTGCGCCCGTCACGCAAAAAATTGAATCTCTAAAATAATCGTGCAAACAAAGAGCCCAACTAAACCCACCGCGCTGTGGCGAGAACACAATTTTGGTGTTGCGGGCCAGACGGTTTAGTACCCTACTAAACGCTCCGCGCTGTGGCGTGAGATCCATTTTGGCCGGTCAGCTCACATTCTAAGAAAGATTTTTTTTAGTAAGGTCTTTTTATCGAATTGAACCAACTATACGCTATACGCTGGCCATGTTTTTCCGCAAATTTCCACGGTTTTCAGGGTATAGTAGTCCAAGTTCATCAACTATACGCTCCGCGCTGTGGGAAAACGCACATCCTAGCTTGGCGGCTGTTGGGGTGCTTTTAGCAACCGCTGGCGGCGCTTTGCTGCCGATTTCTGTTCTGTCTTGTTCTCCGCGATGGTTTTATAAGAGGGCCAACATCAGAAAACAGTGACGAATTGCATCTGCAAGCCAAAGCAACACAGTTGAGATGCCTGTCGCAACGCTTTGCGCTGCTGCTTGAAGTGGTTCAGCTCGCGCACCAGAACCTGCAATAGATTTCTCCACCATAAAGGACTCGGAACCTGCTGCCGCCAAAACCTTCCCCCATGTAAGTAGCAAGAAGCGGCCGCAAGATTGAGCAAAATGAGGTTCCAAAACCAGGGCCCCAAAACAGGCAGTTTTGCGGTGACGCATGGGCGTACCCGGCGTACCCCCATAGTATATAGATTCGAGTCCCCGTGAGCCTCGCTTTGTCCTCGTGCCTCGGGCAGGCCTCGGTAAGCCTTGGAGTGCCTCGAATGCCAACAAACCTGCTTCATCATGGCCCCTAAAACAGGGCCAAAAAGTGGTCAAAACATGGCTGCGATAAAGGGACCTTGACAGTAGTCACTTCGAAGCAAACAACGACAAAGCCGTGTCGCAACGAGAGCGGTGAAAAGAAAGGTGAAACGGACAGTGAAACATGAGCTAATGTGAGAAATGATGAAGGGGCACCAACAGCCCACAGGGCGCGCTCAAAATCCGCTCAGTAGTGCTTTTTCAATCATCATATTCTTGGATAATTTCCAGAGCTCAATCTAAAGGTGCTTGTTTGATGGGCACGGTGCCCAAACTGGTTCACTTGGAGAGGTGCCAAGGTTTGTGGTCGACTCCGGTACCCTAGTGCTCTTGCCAATAGTCTTCATGGGCTGGAAGATTATGTTCATCATCTGTGCGTGGTGAAATCTGTGCATTCAGCTCTTCAGATGACGTGCTTGCACCTTTGGCTGTGCGTGGCATAAGCAGTATGGCTTTTTGCGCCTGGCTAACTTCGTAGCTGGCGGAGATCGTGCAACTATCTAAGATGCAGCTCAATTGACGCATCTGGCATATGGCAGCTTCAAGGTCAGTGATTCTCTGGGATGGGACGTCTGTGATACCTCGAAGCTTCTGGCATGCCTTGTCGAGCAGTTTGGTGGCGGCATCAACTTCGTCTGTAGTGACTTGACACAGTGTCAATTGAGTAATTGACTTTGCTAGGCGATTGACTGCAGCATCCTCCATCGCAGTCGGACGGGCAAAAAAAAAGCCGAAACAACACGCGGGGTGTTCTGCGGTTGTAGAGCGGCTGCGCAGTCCAGTCATCAACGGCAGTGTCATCTACTCATTTGAGCAAGGGTGGAATGAAGACGTCCATTTGGAAGTCGTATTCGGTAGGTCCGGATGTGGGTTTGATGTTCGGGCAAACAGCAACGGGTTCCATGGCTTGATGTGCTTTGACATCATCCTACGCTAGAAACTACTAGTTTATTATAGTGTCTATTTTAAAACCCGCGCCACCCCTCCCATACCAATCTTCTTCTCACTCCTACCCTTATATGTAGTCTACCAGTTAAGCACATTATAATTCGTTACCACCTCTGCTGGGTCAAGGGTGTACAGGCCAACATGAGTACCTCATGTTGACCGGTAACACCTATGACGTGGGTCAAGTAGCACCGGTGTCGGTTCTCGGTGAGAGGCAACAGTGGGAACCTCACGGTGCCCGCTTGCACTTATTGGAAATGCGTTTGCGGCTAAACAACATCCAAAAACACCACAAACCACAAAAACAAACGAAAATCATGTCCAAGCTCTTCCATGGGAAACCTCCTGGTCGCTACTGTCAAGGTCCCTTTATCACAGCCATGTTTTGACCACTTTTTTGGGCCCTGTTTTAGGGGCCATGATGAAGCAGGTTTGTTGGCATTCGAGGCGCTCCAAGGCTTACCGAGGCCTGCCCGAGGCACGAGGACAAAGCGAGGCTCACGGGGACTCGAATCTATATGAAACTATTGTTGGGGCTTCGCAATGATTGATGGTGTGGCAGTGGGACACGGTGGTGCCTTCTGGACTTGCAAAAGTACTGCTGTTTGTCAAAGCTGCGCCAGTTTTGGCAAAGAAAGGTCACTGCAGAATCTCATTTTCGGAGCTGTAAAACATTGGCCTTGGACTCCGAGAAGTGGCCCTCCCCAGTTGCGTTGAAAAATTGCTGGTCAAACAATCCCTAACTTTGATCCACTTGCGTCATGCGAAGACCTTTTTGTGTGAAAGTTGGTGAGAGGATGTACAGTGTACTGAACCACCTTGCACCTCTTGAACATCTTGTTGGAACAATGTATGTGCAGGTGAACAGTTAGGAAACCATTTTAAGTTTGTAGGAACCGATCTGTGAACTAGAGAACCCATAGGAACCTATAGGAACCTATAGGAACCAGGTAGGAACCAATTTGGAACCAAATGGAACCAGTTTGTGGAGCAGAAAGACAAGACGCGCCCAATTGATGATGCGTTGGCCTCTGGTTTGACTCGGCCTATGGCACCAGCAACAAACTTACTCTTTTTGATGTGGATACACTGGTGTCGATGGTGGTACAGGTTGCAAAAGCGTTTCAACAGCCGGGGGGGCCTCTCACCACTGGCACGGGAGGATAGATACCGCTGAATGTGTCCTCGACGTGGACCAAACCTTTTCAGGTGCTTGGATGTATGCTGGACTTGCAAAGTGCCTACAAGCAGGTTGGACCTTTCATGCCTGGGCTATGGAACAGGGTGATCATGGTGTATGACTCTCAGAGCGATTGCCCCCAATATTTTGTTTCCTCAGCATTAATGTTTGGGCCGACAGCGGCTGTGTATGCATTCAACCGCATGAGCAGGTCAATCTGGCACATTCTAACACATGTCTTGCGGTTGTGGACCACTGTTTATTATGATGATTTTCCCATGGTGGAGATGGCCGAGACGTCAGAAGTGGCTGAGTGGAGCATGGGCGAAATTTTGGACGCCCTGGGTTGGAAGTTTGCTAGGACTGGAAGCAAAGCCCAGCAATTTGATGTGTTGGGGGTTACAGTGGATTTGCAATATTTGTATGCGGGCAAGGTTCTGCTAAAGAACAAAACTTCAAAGGGTTCGATCCATAGTAGAGTCTATGGGCAAACTCATACTTGCTGGAAAGGTGGAACCTGGCGAAGCAGCCTCCCCGCATGGCCAGTTGAATTTCGCACAAGGGCAGCATTTGGGTGCCCCACTCAAACCCGCCATGAAGTTTCTCAGCGATGTAGCTGCAGCTGGCTGGTGCGAGTCGATGAAACCTTTGCTGGTGGTGGCTGCTATCTACACCAAAGCAGTCATGCAATATGATGCACCTCGATGCATGTCCTTGCAAGATGAGACCAGCCCTTTGGTCGTTTTCACTGACGGGGCATGGGAGATCATCCCAGATCCCAGCTGGAGCTGGTATTGTGGTGGTGGATCCTGTTTCTGGTGTAAGAATCTCCCATGAGGTGCACGTGCCACAATGCTTGGTGAACCATTGGCGTGGGCTGGGAAAGTCCCAACTTATAGCAGAACTAGAGCTGTTGCCGGTGATCATTTTCTTTGAGCACTACTAAGAACTGTGCTGCCATCGGCGAGTTTTACTTTTTGTTGAAAATAATGCGATAAGAGATTCTGTGGCAAAAGGAACTTCGAAGTCACTGTCGGTGTTGGTGATGCTCTCTGAACTTCATCGCGTCTGGACGGAAATTCAATGCCTGTGCTGGGTGTCGCGGGTCCCATCACGTCTTCCAACGTCTCAGACCTGCCGTCCAGGAGTAAGGTTCAGCTTGGCGCTTCAGTGATTGGTGGCCCCATGGGAAAGACTTTGGATCCTTCTCCGAGAATTTGTGACTTGATTTGCGACGCGACCTCCTGTATTCAGTTCATGCGGCAGCACTTGAATGCCAATGCAAAGCTTGAGAAGTGAAAAGAGGGAATCGGTTTCAATTTGAAATGTCACAATCAGCAAAGACCAAAAAGAAATTGGCAATTGTTTTTTCTGATGGCATCGCAAGATGCATTGTTTGAAGCTTGCCTGAATGGCATTGTTGGCGATCGATGTGCGATAAACCCCTTTCGTCTCAGGACGATCTCACCAAATAATGAAGCGGAAAAAGAAACAATTTACTCAAAGCGCGAGTGAAGCCGAGGGAGTGTTTGCAGTTTTGATTTAAGTTTTTAATAAGAGGAGCTGTGTATTTTATGACTTAATAGATATATACGTTGGTGTTTACGCTAGAATATGTTGCGTAATTGTCAATAGAAGGACACACATTAAAGATGGATGCGTTCAACAAAGTTGAGTGCACTATCTTTAGGTGTGCAGTGTCAACGTCCTTCTTGTGTTTGTTTGTTGCTCCTCTTGTCTCTCCTTCCTGCCCTGTGCGCTTCCCTTGTGCTTGCGTAGTATACGCATTGTTATGCTTGGTCTCACTTGTGATGCCTCTTTATTGCGCTGCATTGTAAGCGTTTAAGTACGCGACTCCTCTCTTGACCTCTTCCGCTCCCCGCGTCCTGCGTGTTGCGTCGCGCTGCTTTTGGGTTCGTGGAAATGGGTTATTTTTACCTGTGATTGTTTTCTACAAAGGTATGAAGCGGAAAAAAGGGGCTAAATTTAGCCCCTTAGTTTTGGGGAGAGGTGGTGAACCAAAACCAACTTGAGCTGTTTTGTTTTGTAGTTGCAGCCTGTGACTTGGAGAGTATCTGTTCTTATCAGTGCAGATGTTGCCGGAAACAATCACCTCTGCGTAAGGATGACACGCACTTTTGTGATGTGTAACATGTGGTCGTCAATAATGCATTTGTATCTTGTGTGACAACTCAACTGTCTTGCAGTGCTATCTGTTCTTACCAGTGTGAGGTCTGATTTCATTTGTGATGAAGTTTGGCTGTTCAGCACGGGTGCGGTTGCGCGGTTGGGTTTTTCGCTCCCACCCACCCTGACCCCGCTCTCACCCAACCGTGTTTCATTTTTGTCCTTTTCCCTACGCGGGAATCGGTTTCAATTTGAAATGTCACAATCAGCAAAGACCAAAAAGAAATTGGCAATTGTTTTTTCTGATGGCATCGCAAGATGCATTGTTTGAAGCTTGCCTGAATGGCATTGTTGGCGATCGATGTGCGATAAACCCCTTTCGTCTCAGGACGATCTCACCAAATAATGAAGCGGAAAAAGAAACAATTTATTCAAAGCGCGAGTGAAGCCGAGGGAGTGTTTGCAGTTTTGATTTAAGTTTTTAATAAGAGGAGCTGTGTATTTTATGACTTAATAGATATATACGTTGGTGTTTACGCTAGAATATGTTGTGTAATTGTTAATAGAAGGACACACATTAAAGATACGATTTTGAAGCAATTTACAGAGCAACAGTTGCGAGACAGTATCATCGCTGGCAATGGAGCAAAGGTTGGGGTCTCAGACACTGTCGCATATCCTGCGGGGTGGACGTGTCCATCGAAGTGGGACAGCTAGGGAAGTACGTCCCGTCGCATCAAGGTGCTGTTAATGCATTTAACAGCACCTTCTACATGGGAATGGATTTCCCAGTAGCATCGTTAGGCCGTCAACGTTGAAACACACTCGTGTATTGTCAAACAAGAGAACACCACGACTTGCGTCTCCAACCTCTGCCCGGGAATGTATTTCCCAAAGGGTATCTGGTTTACCCTTCCCGATTCGTTGAGTGAACGCACTTCACTTGATGGGGAATGTCCTTTGCTTGGGGAATGTATTTCCCGATCCCACATATTCGGGATTCGTTTGAAAATCTAATGGTGAATGCACTTCACCGACTTTGAGAATTAGAGTGAATGTATTTCACTATGGACATCAAGATGTTGTGGGTCTGGAATGTACATGTCGTCAGCAACCGCTGGCTCATAGGGGGCCTTTCAAATAAAAGGTCTGGAGGGAGTCCGCCCAAGGCGCTTGGGCATCGTGTGACGCGATGGAAGGGGTGGGGCCACGGAAGGGCTTCCGAGCTCGGTGGTAAGCCCGTAGTGCTGCGTCAGAACGGGGCACTCCCGACCTTGACGGCGAAGGTGCGGACGCCTGGGAGAAGATCGGCTTTGATTTTTCGAAACACCCGAGGCTGAGGAGCCGGCAGAGGCTAGGGATGAGGAAAGAGCCCAGCGGGAGTTGGGAGCTATCAACGAGGGGCTTCGGCATGCAGTGGAGCATGTGACGCCGGAAGAGTTGGATACGTATTGGGCGGTGTTGCCATCCAGTGTCAGGGATCTGGTGACCATGGGCAATGAGGTGTCGGCGGACCTACTGGCCTATGTAGCTGACACGGATGAGGACAGGATGGATATGAGGCACTATACAACTAGCAGCTGAGGAGAAAGTTGCGCGATTGAGAAGGAACCGCGTAGACAAGAGAGGAGCACAGATGGCCGTCGACATGGCGGCGAAGGCCAAGGCTCAGAAACAGCGAGAAGCTGGGGATCTCTTGGAAGGTGAGCAACCGACTTGCACTTGGCTGGAGAAACACTCCGGCGCGATCATGATGAGGCGCCGGAGGCGATCCACCGACCAGGAGTTAGACGAAGGGACGGTAGAAGCGGTGAAAGCCAGGGAGCACCGTCAGTGGGTAGAAGAAGCCGAGAAGGTGGTGCAAGTGCTGGAGGAGAATGACGACCTCCCCATTGTACGAGGTGCGCGGTGGTGGGATCCTACAGGGCATCGACCTTGAGGAAGCGGCTCCGTGAATGGAGAAAGTACCTGACCTGGTTGGAGATTGTCCACCAGGTTAAGGTGGCCTTCAAGACGTGCACATGCCATAGATTTTTTGGTTGAGCTAAGGCTGGCAGAAGCACCGCCTACGGTTCCTCAGTCTTTTGCGACGACCTTGGCCTTCTTCGAGAGGGCAGCTGGGATTGGGCCGGAGATAGCCATCTCAGCAGATGTTGCCTTCAAGAGGGCCCTGGACATGACCAACAAGGAGATGGAGTACAGGAAGCCTGAGAAGAAACAGGCACCGCTGCTAGCGGCGATGGAGATGTTGGTCATGAGTGAGGCCAACGCTACCTTTGTCCGGTTTGCCGCGTGGTGCAAGCTGGTCAAACCTGGACGGCCAGCAGGACGGATGACCTGCAGGGGATCTCCTTGAGGAGCATGAATAAGTACTCCAAAGCTGGGCTCCATGGAATTTTTTGGAAGACAAAGGTTTCAGGACCAGGTAAGAAGAACAAGGTCTTACCATTCATGATCAGCCAAAAGGTGGGAGTCACGGGCCTGCCGTGGTTGAGAACGGGGATGACCATCCTGGAGGAGAGGTACTGGTATCCCAGAGATTACTTGGTGCCGATGTACCCATGTGGCCTGGAGAACCTCGAAGAGTAGAGACCGGCCAGCTACGACGACTTCGTGGTACTGAGCCGGGTAGTGTACTCCCGACTCAAGGAGTGCTTCTTCGAGGATGACAGGTGGTAGGGGCCCATTGTTGCTGCCTGAGTTGTATAAGCTCTGGACGGAGCATTCAGAGCGCAATTGGATCGTCTCCATGGCGGCCGCTGCGGGCATCCCAAGGGAGGAGAGACAGATGCTTGGTCGGTGGGCTGTAAAGGAGAGCGGGGACGAGTACGTGAGATCAGCACAGAGAATCGTGGCCAGGATCCAGTGCAGTCTCTTGGAGAAGCTTCGGACCGACCGAGAGTGGGACCTGAGGAACTCAGGGGTTGGACGAGGTGAAAGACCACATCACGAAAGTCAACTATGATGTGGGCTCCATCAAGAGAGAGATGGAGAAGCTGGAGATGCCAGAGGTCTGGACGCCGGTTGAGGCTGACGATTCCTTCTTGGGAATGGTGATGAGGCCACCGGGCGTCGAACCTGAAGAGATGGGGCCACATGGCGAGGAACCACAGCCAGACGAGAACCCCACCTATATCCAGGAGGTGATGGAAGAGAAGGTGGGAGCGGACGATGTGGGGAGTGAGGAGGATGACGTGGATGCCCAAGGAAAATTCTTTGTGGCAATCAACGTCCGCAGTCGCCACAGGAAGCTCCACATCTGTGGAAGGTGCGGCACGAAACCTGGGCAGAACTTTGCGGCGTACGAGCCCCACAACAACCTCAAGGGAGTCAAATTCAATTCCCTCTGTGGCCACTGCTGGAAGGGCAAAGACCCAAAGGAAGCAGAGGAAAGCTCGACGACGACGAGTTCGAGCGACATGGACTGAGCAGTAAAAAAAAGGGGGAAAGGGAACTCCACTTGGGGGACAGGAGTCATGACGTGCATGTGCATGCAACGGGGGAGGGACGTGGCCAAAACGGCCCGGCCAAGTGAAGTTCCAGCGAACCCTAGTGATGCAAAGGGGGCACGGTCGGGGAGGGTCATGTACTGACCCAAGGGAGCCCGTCACGAGCGATTAGAAGCTTGGGAAGGCCTGGAACCTGGGTAAGGTATTTACTTGGGAAAGCCGACAGTTTTCTGTCATAGACGTGTTGCTGCACAAAGTGTT